CCCCACGCCAGCCTGCAGTCACTGCTTCCTCAGATAAGTTGGGTACGGACTGTTGGGGAGAGAGAGAAGAACTAATGAAGGACTCTGAAATTTACTGTGGGCCTTTATATTTAGGTTTTGGAGACTAGGGAACACATAATCCATGATGTTACTAAAAATTAGGTGAGATACTGGAGGAAGTGGAACCTGAAAAGGCAAGTGAAACTGTATGATACAAAATTTTCCCTCAAAAGCCATGCCAGAAAGTGTGAAATTGTGGAATCTCCATTTGGCACCTTAATGTTTTCCTTTAGAGCATTATAATGACAGCTCTTTAACATCAACCAGAATTCACAGGTCACTGCTAGCCAGATATCTTTAAAAAGTGGAGTAACTACACGGATAGGAATAATCATTGCTCAGGAAGATAGGATTGATTAATTGGCAATGATTAAGTAATTTTTTGTTGTTTTTTGTTCTTTTACATTTAAGAATTGATGGCAGAAATTACTGGATGCAGCCTCTTGCCTATATATGCTGAGTTTATAGATCTGAGCACTATTTCTTTACTTTTGCAGTCACTGTTTATTTATTTATTCTTGTTCTGGGTTGCTAAGAATCCAGGACTCAAGCCAAGCCTTCATTATACAGATTATCTCTTCTAGGAGCCTGTAAAGGAGTTTAATTTTGTTGAAAGTGTTTGTCATAGCTGAAGATAACCCACAAGATCCAGAAATTTCTTTCCCTTTCGAACTTTAAAGTGGGGGGGGGGAGGCTGAAAAGCAAGAAAGGGGGGAGAGAACATTTAAAAAAACCCACCATCTATATTTATGGCATAATGTGAGGTAAAGTGATCAGTGAAAGGCATTATTTCTGCTTCATAGAATAAGGCTGGCTGGTCTTGAGGATCTTCTGTCTCATACTGGATCTTCCTTTCTCATACATTCTGTCTGAATATTTGGAGACTTCACTTGTTGCTTTAAGAGCTTGGGGGCAGAGGTAGAGCAGTAGCACTTGGCTGCCTTGGTCTTTGACCCATTGTCTTTGATACTCTTTTTTTGCTGGCTGCAAAGTTGCTTGCTGGCTTTAGCAGTCAGAAGAGTGAAGGTATCTATCTATCAGGTAAGTTGAAAATAGCAGCAGTATACGATCTTCCCACACCTAACCATTTACTGTTATAGGCTCATCTCTGGGTGAGCATATGGCACCCTCATTATGGATGCGTGCCTGGAAACTGTTGAGGCATTTTTGTATACAAACAAATGTATACAAACATTTAAAATGTAAAAGTGTAAATGATTTTCTGTATTCTAATAATTGTAAAATATCAGGTGACAAAATCATTGGGAACCAGAGTGCTGGAGTAGCTGCTAGAATGTTGGACTTGGACTCAAGAGAAGTGTCAAGGCCCAGAAAAAAATGAAGGATATTTTTTTCCCAACAGGAAGAAATAGAAATTTGGGGGGAGTCCTGAAAAAAATACCCTGTGAAACATCCCCCCCCCTTTTAGAATGATTGTAATGCTTTTTAGGACAGGGGTTTTAGTCACTCAAAATGTGTAGTATGAAGATGTTTACATGAGACAAGCTACAGCATTACTGATAATTCCTATACACACTGTAGCATTTTTCAAGGATGTATTTCTTGTTATAATATGATTAATTTTGTCTACAGTTAATATGCTATAGAGCATATGATCGTAATGTACTATAGAAGAGTTCAGTGTTATAATACTTAAGTCAATATCCAAATATGTGGTTAAGGCTCCTGAGCATATGAGACTGTTTCTGTACACTTTCTTTTATTCACTACCAAATTTGTGTTTTCTGTTCAATGCGGATTTTCCCCCCTACCTCTCAGAAGGCATGTGCATTGCAAAGGCTTAACCTAGGGCTCTGAAGTTTTCAGTTCACTTGTTCTGTAGTATTGGGTTTATCAAAAATTTTCTTGTAGAAAAAATGTAAGTCATTTATAGTTATAAATGTCATGATTATGCTAAAGAGCACAATTTGATAGGCTAAGTTATAAATTATGTATTTGTTGTTTTTAAAACAATAAAATAAGTTTATATTATTGCATTTATTCATTTTTCCTCAAATGTCTGTTGTTATTTTTGCTGATCTAACGTCCCAGTGGCTTCAAAATTTCTAGAAATGTTACATGTATTTTACATTAGCTTGTCCAGCTCAGTATTCTCATTGCTGATGAAGTCTTTTCCAGTGCATGGTACTTGAGATCCAGTAGCTAGAGAGACCCACGGTTAAACTTGGAAGCTTCAATATGCAAACTATATGCTATGTCACTGAGCCATAGACATACCCTGGTTCATATTAAGGATTTATACAGAATTTTCTTTTTTGGATCTGTCAGAGACACTTGCCCCATTCCTTGCCCCCCCTCCCCCGAACAAGCCTGGCATCCATCAGACCCAGAGGCATCCCAGGAGCACCTTATAAAGATCCTTACTCCAGCCAGCTGATCAATGGTGTAGAACAAAAAATGGCTATGTACAGGATTAGCCCATCCAGGCCAGTCCAGGAATGGGCGGGAATCTTGTACTTTTTCAGTACATTAAACAACAAACCATGAGATGGTCTATACCCTCTCTGGTTTCAGAACAATGTGCCACCAGAACCTCTTTTCACTAGTCCCTGCCTTTCCTAAGGGAGAGATTCCAAACCCTTAGTTAGCATCTGGGACAGAACACCTTAGCAACTCATCTAGAGATGCACACTTTTACTCTCTAATGGTAGCGTATATGGTGAGCATTTAGGCCACAAGATTTAGGCTTGGAATGCAAGTTACAACATCAGAGACCCATTAGAAATAAGAATAATTTTTATTCAGTACAGAGCATGGCAAAACAGACTATGTAAGAGATTACTGAAAATAAGAAAAACCTATGGCTCTGTGCCTTAACTACACAGTAAAGATATTCATAGTTACCAGTGAAGTGTCCATATTCCAAGAGTGTCCAAGGTATACAGTCCAATTAGACACCAAGGGATTTTGAAGAGAAATCCCATCCTTGCACCCATGTGCTCCAGTTCACAAAGCAGCTCTTTGTCTTCCAAGAGACAGAATTTCCAGGTGCAATAAACAGACAATGACAAGAAGGGAGAGCTAAGAGCTCATTCCCATAGGGATCAGACAATTATACTCCAATTCCAGTCACAAATTAGATGTGGTCATCAGCCAATTGCAAGTGGGCATGGGTGTGCCCAATTGTTGGTTGTCATAGCTGCGTGTGGGGATAGGCTAGACATTTGGAGGCCCCTCCTGCAGTCAGGTGACCCAACTTCCAGCTTCTCCATGGTGTACGTGACATACTCCATGAGCACCAGAAAGTGTAGCCATGAGGTCTGGCGTTTGGCATGAAAGTGTGAAAGAATGTGGGTTTATGGCATGGCTATTGAGGTTGTTCAGGCCATTTGGTTTGCCCTGGACCATATTTCCTGCAACAGGAAACAGAGACAGAATGTCATCACAGGAGAAGGCATGAGACTTTTAGAAATCAATATTTCTATACAGGCTATACAGTGGGTGTAATATACTCTATCTGAAAAACACTTTAATTTTTTAAGGAATATACACAACATTCTATTTGAAATTACAAAAAAAGCTTATTAGCTCTTCTTTAAAGATGCAGTACAAGTACAAATTGAATTTACATATATGAAGCTAAACCATAATACATGAGATTAACCACGGCAACGGATGTCTCAGTTTCGATCCTTTGTCAGGCCGTAATCATGTGGTAAAGCCAGGAAAGAGTTGAGGGGACTAGTGCAGGACATGCACAGGGGCTTATCCTCTGGTCCCAGTTGCACTCCACCACTCAAGTATTATACCAAGCTGAGGAGTGCTACTTTTCCCCTTGACACTAAGGCCTATTTAATGTTCCAACCAGTCTACAAAGTCAAAAGCAGGAAAGGAGCAAAAATTGTTCATAAGGCTCTATTGGTCCAGTAGAGGCTTGGCCATGCCCTCATAGGACTTCTGAGTAAAGGGAAGCCACTGGGCATGCCCTAGGCTTGGCTAAGACCACTTAAAAGGCTTGAGGAATAGAAAAGAGTAGAGCTGGAGGAGAGGAGGTGTAACAAAGTGGGGCTCAATCCCTCTCTGTCTGTGGGCAAGTGAAGACATTTACCCATATTGGACCCTGATGGGTGATGGCTGTGGCCTGAGGTCTTACAGGATCGCATTTGCACTAGGGGTGCAGAGGAGGCAAAGACTGCTGTCTCTCTTCCCACTCTCTAGCCTCCTCCCACAGGCCTTGCCTGCCAGCAGGCATAGGCAAACAAGTAAATATAGTTCTAGAGAACAAAATAGCTTCCTCAAACGACATCCATCTTTCTGCAAAATCAGAAAGCCCTTCTGAAGCTTGAGACAACAGAATCACCAATCAAGATGATCCTGTTCAGTGGAAATATCATACTCTTCCAACTAGAAGATGTCCCTGTCAGGGACATAGCTGCATGCTGGGTCCCTCTGTCCCTCTTCCCTTTCCCCCTTTTCATTTTCGTTTATTTCTTTAAAATATTTATAGCTTACCTTTCCTCATGGTTCAAGGTGGCTTACAATAATAGTAATTTTCTAAAAGTTCTGGTTAAAAGCAAAATAAAATCTATCCCCCCCTCTTTTAAAGATACCTGCCAATTCAAATTTCAGTGGAACTGAGCTAGAGTCAACGTCAGTGAGGAATTAGAGTGAACACAGCGGGTTAACAACCTTTTCTCATTATTTAGAAATGTAGTCCCCACTCCCATTTGGATTAGTTGTTGTAACTGGTTTAATTAATGGGGTTTAGGTTCCAGTTAGGTTTGTTCCCTAGTTCCCATTGGTTTTCAGCCATGAGGCTTGTTGAGTGGTCTTATCAAATTTAAAGTTTGGTCACAGAGTTGTGAGGAGTAAATACGACAGCTTCATATTGTGCTACCCTGAGCTCCTTAGAGAAAGGGAAGAGTACAACAATGGTATGTAAGTGATCATCTTTCTTTTTTTGTTGTTTATTTCTACAGTCTTTGTATGGTGCTGAAGTTTCTTCTGTACCACATCTGCCTCTTTTCTACACTCCCATTGATCTGGTAGACATCAGTGTAGAAATGGCCGGTCTGAAGTTTTCAAATCCTTTTGGCCTTGCCAGTGCAACTCCAACAACAAGTTCACCAATGATCCGCCGAGCTTTTGAAGCAGGATGGGGATTTGCACTGACCAAAACATTTTCACTAGACAAGGTAAGAAAAGCTGGGCTTCTTCCATGTTTAAAACGACTTTGTGACTTCCCTGAGACTGCTCATAGCCATTTACTATAAAGATGTTGGTGGTAGGAGCCCTTCCCTCTGTCCTGGGCTTCAGGGTAAAAACTATTTTAAAATGTCTGAAGACTATGCTGTGCTTCTAAATATGAACCTGATATCCTGCAGTTTGGCCCGGCAGGCAAATGTTTCAGAAGCGTTTCAGTAGCGGATTAAAGGGGCGGTTTCACATAGCCACATGTTTCAGGCATCCCCCAGCCATACTCAAGCCGTCTTGTGCCGCTTCCCTTCCGAGTTTAAAAGATAGCATGTTAAAGTGGTAGCAAACCGTGTATAGAGCGCGTTGATTCCGGTTCTCTGAGTGTGAACGCATGCGCTGCTAAGGCGGTAACAACCCGCAGTCATTGATAATAGGCACCATCTGTGTCTGCGGGCAGGCGCCATTGCCGCCTGCGTGATCCTGCCCTCTTTGCCGCTGCACCCATGTACCCATGCGCATGGGCGCATGCAACCCAGCGCGGAAACAGCCCCTAACAGGCCGCCAGGCTAACAGCCGCTAACAGGTGGCCCAACAGTGTGAACACTCCCTTGCGCTTCCTTCACGGTATCCTCCCGCTTCATTCGCTGCAGTGTGAACGGGAATACTGCAACCAAGCCGTTCCAGGTCTATTCCAGGTTTTCTTTGCCATGACTCCCTAGCGCTTCAAATTGCCAGTCTGAACTCGGCCTAGGACTGGGAGGCAGAGCACCCAAGTTGGAAGTTAATAGCATCCAAGTAGGCTTGATCCCTCCTAGCATCTCTCTGTTTATGAACTGAGCACTGAGACCAATGTGGAGGCCTGTAGTGTTCCATCCATATTTGCAAAGCTACTGCTGGTGGTGGTAGTTGTTCCTAGTGGAAGTATTTGAAAAGCACTATATGCCAAGGGTGTAGACTTTCCAATTTCCCGGGGGGGGGGGGCTGGGGCTGGGCCAGAGGCATTGCTTTGCTAGGAGCAAGGGTGGCTCCCGGGGGAGGCTGAGCACCTTCCTGAAAATTTCGGTGGGGGTTGAAGCCCCGCCGCCCCCACGAAGATTACGCCTATGCTATATGCTACTGCTTATAATAATACTTAGCTTTAATATAGCACTTTCAGATGTTCAAAAGCATTTTACATATATTATCCTGTAATCCTTCCAACAGTGCTTAAGGGTTTGTTGTTATTATAATCATCCTTAATGGGGGCCAAGGCTGAGAGAAAGTGGCTTGCCATCTACTGAGTTTGTGTCAGAGGGGGAGATAGGATCCCAAGGGCTTTCTAAATCATACCTCAGTCTTGTAGCCATTGTGCTACACCAGCTTTCACTGATGGTATATAATTAGGGTTGCCGGGTCCTCTCATTGCTCCAGCAGGGGGATTTGAGTGGCGTTCTGGGGGTGGGCGGGAATGTTGTGTGACATCCCCAACATGATGACATAACCCAGAAGTGACGCTATCGTGTTGGGGATGTTGCATGGGGACACTCTGGGATTTGGGCGAAACTCTGTGGATTTTTTACCCTCAAAGCATAGAGTTTGCCCAAATACCAGAGCGTCCCCATACAACATCCCTGACACATTGACATCACTACTGGGTGATATCATTGTGTCAGGGACATTGCACAGCAACATCTCTGTTTAGGGGCGGGGTTTCCCCTGCAGGCTAGCTGGTCCATGGCAGGGAGAAGCTCCTGAAACTGGGGGATCTCCAGCCTGGACTTGGGAGCTGGCAAGCCTATATATAATATATTCTTCCTTCTTCAAAGGTTGTGTCCAACTAATGATCCAAAATCAAAGGTCCTTCATGCAAACAGTACATCAATGAAAACAGCAGGAACCAGTTTGGATGATGTAGTTTTTTCTAATAAAAAGTTCAGTTTCTTTTTGCTATGAAAATAAACAAGATGGCCTTCAATTAGCTATATTTCTTTCAGTAAAGGTTCATAGGGGTGGCCAAGAGATGGTGGAATCAGAGGTTGAAGGGAGGAATGGGCTTTGTATCTGAATCAAAAGAGTAGTTCTGAATGGTGCAGATATTCTCGGAATATCTTCTTTCTTCAGGGGATTCCTAAAGTCAGCCACAGGAATTCAAACGGTGGAATGCTGTTTTGTGGCTCTTCCACAATGTTATATATAAGTTCAATACTTCTATTCCATACTGCCTATGCAAGTGGAAAGCCTTCTGTATATTTTTTGAATGGACTGGCCTCTGGTGGTCAAGTTGAGCATGTAGGAGTTTGTCTGACTTCATTATATTTATGGAACAGATGGAATTCCCACAAGATTTCTTTTTTAATTTCCTTAGCTTGTGTGGAAACTTGTTAGACTATCTATAATGGAAGTTTTTGTTTGTTTTACTCGGTGTTATAAAATATATTTTTAAACTGCCATCCACTTACAGCCAGAATTATGGGAGAAGGTTGCAATTTTTTTTAAAAAAATCACATTTTGAATTTTATGTTTTGCATTTGAAAACTTATCTTTTTTTTTTAGCTTTTCAAAATATGGAGATTTCATCTTTGGGTCAGGGTTTAATTTTGTGCAATTTTGGTTCCAGAAAATAAGAATTGCAAGCAGGGCAACAATGGCATTGGAGAACAATGGAGGGGCTGGAGATTAACTCTAAAGTGCATGCTTTACATGTAAAGGCCCCAGGTTCAATCTTGAGTGTCTCCTGTGAGGATCTCAAGTAGCCAGTGTGGGGAAAGTGCCTTGGACTTTTACTGCCTTGGACTATGGAGAGCTGCTGCCAATCAGAACTGACAATATTGAGACATGTAGACCAATTGTCTGACAAGAAGGCAGCTTCGTATTGATATGGCTAGCAGCCCAATTAGTTATTCTGGTATTTTAATATTCATTGTTTTATTGAGTTATTCTACAAAAATATCTATATTTTAAGGACTCAGTCTTTTAAGGGACCAGTGGGTGCCATTTGATTTAGAAAGATATTTGACTGACTACTGGTTTCTATACTTGTTTGGGGCTTCTGTTGTCCTATCCTCCTAGGGTTACCAGCCTCCAGGAGGGGCCTGGGAGATCTCCTGCTTTTACAACTGATCTCCAGCTGACAGAGATCAGCTCTCCTGCAGAAAATGGCTGCTTTGAAGGGTGGACTCTATGACACTGTATGATGCTGAGGACCATTCCATCCCCAAACCCCACCTTATCCTGGATCCATTCCCAAAGTCTCCAGGTATTTTCCAACCCAGACCTGGCAACCCTATATCCTCCTCCTCCTTGAAGGCCAAAGGTACAACATTATACCAGCTCCACCCAACAGCTCTACTTTATCTACTCATATTTGACCTTCAATACATGATGCACTCAACAGGCTTTAAGATCAAAGGATGAAATATTGGCTTTTCTCCTTTCCCTCCCCTCATTTTTAATTATTCAGTTTATGCAATATATTATGTTGTTTTGTTCACTCCTCCTAAATGATATTACATGGCTTTTGTTTGAGGATTTTGCTTTAGACCAGCATAGCTGTCTGCATCATCTGCTGGTTTTGTGTGATAGTTTTTTTAAATGTTCATTGGATATGACAGCACAGTTTGACTAACCCACAAAGTGCAGCATTTTTTTCCCTGGGTAGGGATGTGTAGAAACACCCTGTGAAATCTGAGAATCTTACAGAACTCTTCCAGGCTGGATGCAAAGAAAACAAAGAGGTGTGGGTGGAATGAAGATGTTACAGAACATGATTAAAAAAAAGACCTAGTCTGCATTTTGTCTTAAAACAGAGAAGATATGCAGATCGGTTACATTAGGCCATGCTAAACGTAACAAGATCTCAGATTGCCTGAAAGGCTACAAGGGTAAAGTTGAGGTAGCTCTTCCTCTGAAGATGTAGAAGCCAGCATGTATTCAGATCTGCCTCGAGCACTAGCCAGATCACAAAGGTTTCTTGTAAGGCAGAAAGCAAAAGTAAAGAAAAATGTGGTATCATGTTTGTTAATGAATCAACGCAGCTACCTGCAATGTTTGTATTTCATTGTTGTTTTTATACCTTTACAGTGCTAATTTTGTACAGACAAAAATATGATTATCATTGTGCCCCCCCCCCCCCCGCCACTCAGAAGAGTGTCAGGGAAAGCAAGGAGGGGAGAGAAATAGGTGTGATTTTGACACTGCGTCATCACTTACAATACATCTCTGGAAGTGATATCATTCCATTTGGGCAATGTCCTAGTAACCCCACAAAGCTGTGGCTTCACCTATTTGCATGTCTGTGCCCCCCTAATCCTCCTGCCAGTTACCAGCACTGGGTTGGCAACCCTATACAAAGACCCTTCCCTTTCTCACTTTAGATAGATTTTTATATTGTAAATGGTTGTACTTTTTGACTGACTTGCCTCCTTTTTCTTTGTAAGTTCTGGATATCCTGTTGCATGTTTTCAGTCTTGCCATAAGCTACCTTGAAAACTTGAACTATCAAAAGGGTGGGCCATAAATATTCAAATAAAGAACTAAATGAAAATAAATATAATGTTGTGTTAAAAAAGAGGAAGAGGAAGCTTAGAAATCTAAAGACATTTTTGTCCTTGATTCTATAGGCCTGGAAAAATACATTGTTTGTTTGTTTGTTTTTTAAATTGCAGTGCGGTTAGTCTGTGTCTCTCCAGGTCATGACTGCATATGTGTCTTTCCAAGCTTGAAGTTGCCCAGAAGGTTGTGTGTAATTGTTGTCAGTCCAGAATTAATTCTGGATCACTGAAGCAGTCACTTCTTTAATTAAGGTGGTATAATAGCTGCCAGTGTGACCATTTCCTGATACATAGCACATCTGCAAAGCCATTGACCTACTGACCATATTTCTGAACCATCACCCTCCCCAGCCCTAGCTTTCTTCAGCGTCACTGCCACTGTCTGTTTGGTTTGCACTGACACTGCTTCAAGGCAGTGCCTCTGTGCCCCACCCATGCCTTCAACACTTGCAAAAGCATACATTTACCTT